TTGTAATACTTTAATCTGACCATTCAAAATTTTATGTTGGATGATATGTTGTTATATATAAATTTTCAAAGACAACTGTTGCTCATTGAAAAAAATCAGCTCATCTTCACTTTAAAGTTCCACATTGGATGACTCTTGTTTCACCTTATCCATTCCCTTTTATATAACAACCTAGACAAACACACACGTATACAAAATTCAATAAGCTATTTAAATTCAACTAATAAAATTTATATTAACTTTTAAAAATAATTTTTTAAAAAAAAAATATTATATTAACTAATCATCGTCGAAAATTATATTAAAAATAAAAATTTTAAAATAAAAATTATATTAACTTTTAAAATAACAATTTTAATATTAAAAATTAATATAATTTTAACTATTTGGAGGTGGTTAAACGTTATTTGCGGCAGTTAATATAACTACCTCATAATGTCATTTGTAGGTGGTTAAAATAGCAACATCAGATTGTCATGTAGAGGCAATAATTCCAACGGTTTGTGAAAATTGTCACATTTTACCTCACGACGGTGGTAACAAGGTTGTTCATGAATCGTCGAACCAAACATTTAGAGGGGGTTTGAATCGCTTCAAAATGCAAATATAATTATCTCTAAAATCAATTTTCTTGTAGTGAATTATAAAATCATTATCATACATATATTTTGAAATTCATTTGAATGATTATTAACTTTTGTACACTTTTTTGAAAACAATTTGTACATATTAATTGATGCGGCAAAAAAATTAAAATAATATTTTTTAATTAAATAATTATGCATGTATTGCAGTTTTGGGAGAAATTATGGATCTATTGCACATTGTGACTCCTCTTTTGGACGTCACATGTGACGGCCCTTTTGGACGTCACATGGCGTCTAACCCTAAGGGGAAGACGCCTAAATGAGACGTCTCTCATGAGGTATTGACACGTGTCACTTTTTTTTCCAAAAAAAAAATTAATTTAATTATAAAACTTCTAAAGGCCATAACTTTTGACTCGAGTATCCAAATCAGGTAATTCTTTTTTTGATTCCACATAAATTTTCGGGATCTACGCAATGACATCTCATTTGACATATTTTATTTCTCACAAACACAATTTTAATTTGCAAGAATGATATTATAAGAGCGGTTAAACCCAGGAGCCTCTCAGTTCTGGATTTGTGATTTAATATAAATAAATAAATAAAATTTTGATTTGTGATTTAATTTTTTTTATAATAACAAAAAATTGGTTTGTGATTTAAATTCAAAATAAAAATAAAAATTATTATTAATAAGAAAAACAAAATAAAGATTTGATTTGTGATTTAAATTAAAAAATCAATTTGAAAAATCTGTAGAAATAAAGGAAATAATTAAATAAATATTTTAAATTTCTAAAGAAGAAGGATATTATTTTAATTTTTAATTAATAATTAAATTAAATTGTGTTTGTGAGAAATAAAATATGTCAAATAAAATGTCATTGCGTAGATATCGAAAAGTTATGTGAAATCAAAAAAAGAATTACGTGATTTGGATATTCGAGTCAAGAGTTATGGCCTTTAGAAGTTTTATGATTAAATTATTATTTTTTTTGGAAAAGAAAGTGACACGTGTCAACACCTTATGAGAGACGCTCCATTTGGGCGTCTTCCCCTTAGGGTGAGACGCCTCATGTGACACCCAAAAGAGGCGTCACAGTGTGCAATAGATCCGTAATTTTTCCCAAAACTACAATAAATACGTAATTATTTAATTAAAAAACATTATTTTAATTTTTTTGCCTAATTGATGCATAAGCTTATTTTTCTTTGCAAATAAAAAAAAACTTATTTTTCTTTGTAACACAAATAGTCTGATTTGTTTTTGGATAAAGTGAAAAGGGTTATCTTATGTTGTCTATCAATTTAATCTACTTATCTTTATTGTCACGTTTTTACCATTGGATGATATCTAAATCAATGACTTTCTACTTTTTGTCTATCTCTTTTTTTATCTCTTCAAATGGATCTAATGTAATATTACAAAAAAAGGTACAACAACAAGGTGCCACAATGCCTTATAATGGCGCAAAAAGCATCATAGTGCTTTACGTTGGCGCAAAAAACGCCATTTAAGAAGAACATGTATAAAATTTGACGCTCGCTTAGAAGAACAACGCTATAAATAAAAACAAAAAATAAAAAAATAAAAAAATATTAAAATTATATATATATATATATTAATAATAAGGCAGATACACGTGTAGGCACCACAATAATGCTTAAATTTTTTTTATCTAGATGACGATTAGTCAGTTAGATTTTTTTTATAAAAAGTAATAATTATTTAGTTGGAAAATTTTATTTGATTTTGTTAAAGTTTAACCATTTCTAATGATTAGATTTTTTTTAGTCTGCAATCTACTTTTATATATATATATATGATCAACTTATACCAGTGTAAGAATAATAAATATTACACCAAATCTTAACCGTTGATTTCCGTGCATCCAACGGTTGAAATTTATTGGGAACTAAAAATTAATTAATAAGTGCGACCTAATAAATCTTAACCGTTAGATGTATGGAAATCAACGGTTAAGATTTGGTGTAAGATTTATTATTTTTACACCGGTGTAAGTTGATCCTATCCCTATATATATATATATAGGAATAGATCTTTTGACTCTAGAGCAAGACTTACAACTCTTACTCTTCATCTCAACCTTTGATTTCCGTTCATCTAACTGTTATTATTTATTTGAAATTAATAATTAATTAATTAGTATAGATAACCGTTAGATGGAGTAAGAATTGAGATAAGGAGTAAGAATTGTAAGTATTACTCTAGAGTCAAAAGACTCCTCCATGTATATATATATATGTATGATCATCTAATAAAAGAAGAGAAAGAAAAGAGGAAAAGAAAGAAAAGAGGAAAACAAGGAGAAAGAAAAGGAAAGAACCCGAGAGAAAGAAAATAAAATAGTAAGAGAGAAAGAGAAATTACTAACAGTGAAAAATAAAGAGAAAGAGAAAAGGAAGGTAATACTGAGAAGAGCAACTCGTTCTCTTCTTTTATTTTAAAGTTGATTTCTTTGATGTTTTAGAAAACTATGATAATGTTGTTATTCTGTCAAAATTTTTTCTTAAAATTCTTCTTTTATTTGACTTTATTTCTACCTCTAGTTTTATTTTAATATTTTATTTAAATTAAAATTTTAATTCATTTTTACAGTAGAATAATAATTTCTTTGGCATCAACTGAATTGTAATAGAATGCGTAAATTTTAATTATATGATACTGCTGTGAACTGACACACAAATGTTTGGATTCAGACGATAATATTATAAGAAACACCTTAATTAGCTTTAGCTCAATCAATCAGAGCCTTTCATATGTAGAGATCCATAAAATTTGAACTTTAATTGTTATAGTTAAATATTACACAATTTGTCTCATGCTTATTATTGTTATTATTTTTTTATTATAAACATACTTGAGAGAATGATAATTTTTGTTAGTACAGCTTGGATGGTTATAATTAAAAAATCTCAATATTATTAAAAATTTTCTCACCTGTGTTTGTTTATGCTAACCTTTCCAGAGAAATGTGATGTTTAGCCTGTGCTTAAATTTTATGTTGTAGTGGAAACTAAGTAGTAGCAAATGTATATTATTTAGATAGTGTAGAAAGTTATATGTATAGACTAGACTAAATGAGACTTAAGTACTGTACAAATTTATGACTTCAAGTAGTTAAGATGTAATGTATGCATTAAATTGATGTAGAATCTTTTAAATGTAAAATATTTGTACCTGACTTGGTACTATGTACAAGTAACTTAACATTATTTGTTATATAAATGATGTTTAAAAATTTATATTCTTTTATTTTTCTTGTTACTAATATTAAGACGTAATATAATATTCTTAATATTAGTAGTTATAGAAGATGTTATATCTAATATGCTTAGAAGTCATTGATTATAAAAATGGTAATAAAGATATAAAGATTAAGTCGGTAGATGATATAACTTTCCTCAAGTTTAAAATAATTTTTTTTTGTAGTTTATTCAAAAATTAGTTATCCTTTTAATTTTTGTTTATCATTTATTGTCTTTGTGATTTTTTCATCTACCTTTTTATGAATTTTAGTTTATAAATAAGAATATGAAAAAATAGAAATAGATTCTATCATGTGCTATATGACATAATATGATCAAAGGAGAGGATTTTAATCATTTATAGACAAATCAATAGTAAATTTTTCGCTTTTTATTTTAATATTTATCCTCTCTCATCTCTCATTACTACTGATTTATCTATTAATAATTAAGATCCTTGTACATAATATGATCATCTTAAATAATATATGAAAATCTCCATTCCAAAAAAAAACCCATTCGGTCACGTTATATGATCCAATTTTTTTTAAAAGGATTTCAAGTTTTATCTTCACAGAAATATGTAAACAAGTTGTTTTTTATTCTATGCAACCTTTATTATTCATAAGATAAAATATACAATTTATCTAATTCTGAACGGTGTTTAGGCCAATCCAAATGAAAAATACTAAAATTAAAAGAAGATAAATAATAACAAAAACAAAAGATAGATAATTTTAAAGTAAAACACATAGCAGTTATTTGAAATAAGGATAAGTATTAAGCTACTAGAATTAGTATAGTGATGAGGGATTTTAATAACTTATATTAAGTTATGTTTTTAATTTCTACCATTATATCAAAATAAATAAATAAAATAAGGATAAGTATTAGATTTGTGTAATCTATGTTGTTATGGGCTTTTGCCTAAACAACCAACCTAAAAAAAGAAAGAATTTACTCTTTTTCCCAACAATAATAGTAATATTTTTTTTTTCACAAAACAAAATATTATTATTTTCTTTAATTTAAATTTAAAATTTTCTTTTTTTTTTGGATAAAGAGTTTTTATTTTTCTGTTACTCTATTTATATGATCAGTGTTGTGTATCAATCAAACACATCCCTCGTAAAAGCCTAAACCAACGGCGGCACAAACAGAACCTTAAACCCTGTCCCGCCGCTGCACACATTCCCCTCTTCTTCTTCTTCTTCTTTCTCTATCTCTCTCTCTACAAGTGATTTTTTTTCATTGAAAGCTTTGAGTTTTTGGGGTGTTCCAATGTCTGCCTTTGATCACTTCGGCAACATGTACGATGTTGCATTGAAACCTCGGTTGCTTCGAACCCTTGTCAGAGACCACCTCCCTGACGAGAAGCACCCCTTTTCCAATCCCTCAGAGATTTCCAGGGTTGTCTCTTTGATCAAAACACACACTCTTCTCTCTGAGTCTGTTAAAGAATCCATGAACCCCAAGCAAATTGAAGCCTGGAAATCCGCAGTTAAATCATGGGTCGACCATATTTTGATCCTCCTTTCTAGCAATATGGTAAATTTCATTGCTTTGAACTTGTACTTTTCTGGGTATTCAACAAAATTCAATTTTTTAATGCATTTAATTATTATTTTTCCTTATGTGTGAAAACCAGTTTTAGCCTTATTCTTTTGTCACAAGACAGTTTTTTCATAGTTGTTGCTGCTTCTTGATACATATTAGATTACACTCGTAGATTGAAGATTTATTTATTTATTTTTTTTATTTTTTTTTAGTTTACGAGTTAATTTAATTGACATGGTTGCATTTTACTTTTTCTAGCCAGATAAATGTTGGGCAGGAATCTCTTTGCTGGGGGTTACTTGTGAAGAGTGCAGCTCTGATCGTTTCTTAGAATGTTACTCCTCATGGTTCCAGAAGTTGCTGTCTTTTCTACAGGTATCAAGATGTTTTTGCATGAAATGCAGATATTTCTCTTGCAAGCTTTCTTGAACTTTCCCTTTTGGAAATATCAAATGCTGTTCATTGGAGATTCATTGTTGTTTTGGGCAGTAGATGAAATTAGAACTGAGTAATATCACCTTGGTGCTCTAAATTTGATGCTTTCTAGCTGTTATATTTCGTGTGCTATCCTGCACACTTTTAACACACAAGCCAAAGTTGGTACTCTAAATTGAACTTAATATAAGTGACACTATTTCAAACTTAATGATACTACATATCTACACAGTTTTAAAACAGCCCCAGTTGTTCTTAATGCAGCTTTCTATCTTTGGCTTATGCATTTTGGAATTTCTAAATGTTCTTATTCTTTCTGTAAGCCATTCTAGAGTTCATTAAGTCTCCTTTCCTGTATTGGAGAAGGACCATATTTTTTCTACATGCTATGTTATTGAATAATGTTAGACATTATTTATCTGACGCAGTGTTTTTATCTTTCTTAATCTCATGGATATTGTATGTGTTGTATTTATGTTGTTGGACTCCCCATTTGAAACCTTTTTGGGTACATGTGCACTCAAACATGGATATCCCTTGTTCCCATTCATCTTTGAAGATCAATATTTAAATTTCTGAAATAAATTTTTTACTTATGTTTTACACAATTGTGACGTTTTCCATGATCTTTATTTAAAACAGTCACCAGCAGATTCTCGTTTAGTAAGGGTAGCTTCTTGTGCTTCAATATCTGATCTATTTGCAAGGTTAGATATTTCTTTTCCTACTAAAACAAATTCCTATTGACTGGTACAATTATTGATATGCAATGTAGAAAACTCATGTTTGGTGCTTACTTAATTGAATCCCTCGCTAGAAATCTCTCTCTTTCTCTTTCTGCTTGTCTGCAAGCTCATGTGCGGTTGCCTCGTGTTATTCCCTGAATGAAATGATCTACATTTATGAATTGTATATAGGTCATAGGGTCTCCTTCGAAACAAATCTACTTAAGCCTAATGTTTAAGTAAATCCAATATTTATTTTGTGGAATATTCTCTGTCGCTTGTTGGTTTTATGAATAAAATTAGTACAACATCTCGGCCATTGTGTGAGTCATGTTTCTGGTATGCTCTGTCTTGATTAAGATAGCTGGCAGCTAACCTGTATTAACTCTCATTCGTAAACTAGGTTAAGTAGATTTCCCAAGTTCAAGAAAGATGGGTCTTCCTGTGCTGTGAAAGTTGTTCAGCCTGTTTTGAAGATGTTACACGATGACAACTCGGAGGCAATATGGGTAAGTCCTTAATATGGAAATTACTGAATTTTTAGCTTCTATTCAACATAGAAAATGAAAAAGCTTTCACCATGGAGTGGATGGAGCTATATATTTTTTGGTTTGTTTACATATAATTTTAGGTCTAAAACAAAAAGAAAAAAATTCTAGATTCCTATATTAATAGTTGAGGGTGAATTTCTTGTTTTGAAGTTGGTTTGTTAGTTGTGATTAGAATTGTATTTTAATATCAGTATATCTAAAGCGTTATATATATACAATTTATGCCTGATAGATGGAATCATTTGGTTCATCACATAATGCATAAATAATCTAAGCAGAAAGAATACATAAACTCTGTTAGAAATAATATTAATTTATTATTATTAGAATAGTCTAGATTGTGGGCTTGGCCCATTAGGTCATCCCATTAGGTCTTTTAGTCTCTATAAATAGAGAGCCTCCTTGTACAGACTTACACACTTGAATATACAATATATTTCAGATTCAATATGGTATCAGAGCTCTCGATCTGAGGGCTCTGCTTCCGCATATATATCTTTTCCTTTCTTTTTACTGCCGTGCATCATACCGGCAACCATTCTTTCACACCTAACCCTTATTTAGTCACAAATTTCTTGTCCTCAACCTCGTATCATCAGGAAAAAGATCGTCAGCCTCCGTTCATCGCCGGAAACCGCCACAAAACCACCGTCCGCCAGTGTTCACCGCCGTCAGACTGCTTTTCCGGCGACTTTTCCAACCAACCACCACGCGATCAGGAGCGGCTCAGGGAGGCGACCCTGTCTGTCCAAGCCGCGTGTTGATCGGAGCATCCACGCGCCGCCACGCGCCGGTGGAAGTCTCCGGCGGCCGAACCACTGTTCCGGCGCGTGAGCCACCGTCCGGCCACCGTTCCAGGCCGGACCACCACCATCTTGCTCGCCTCCTCACCCTCTTTCCAGATCTGGTCTCCGTTCGTTGTGGGTCCCATCCGTTTGAAAGATATCAGTGAAAAACCCGCTGTTTGGACACTTTTGTGCAACGTTTTTGCGCGATTTCTTGCTTTCTTGTAGTTCTTTGCTATTTTCTGGTCATCTCCTTTTATTTTGTGATGGAGGGCTCAAATAATGCGTCCAAAAACATGACTGGCATCATCTCCGGTACTACCCCATCTCCATTCTTTTCTCGGGCCAGTGATTCCAATTGGAACAGTGGACGCGGTCGCAGACAGAGGCCTCGTTGCAATTATTGCCAGAATCTTGGGCATTTTGAAGAACGCTGCTATAGGAAGTACCCTCATTTGAAGCCACCGTCTGCCAAATTTGCTCAAACTGATGTTACGTCACCTTCAACTGGATTAGTAACTCTTTCAAGTGCCGACTATGAGGCACTTCTCAAGAAGGTTTCTTCTCAGCATCCTACTCAAGACACTGGTAATCATGTTGCTTGTTTTTATCAATCATCTCTTGGACCCTGGATAATAGACTCAGGTGCTACTCATCATCTTTGTGGTAATAAAGATCTCTTCACTTCACTTTCTTATTCTAATAACCTACCCCCTGTCACTCTTGCTGATGGCACTAAGGCTTCTGCTCGTGGAATTGGGGAAGCCAACCCAACTCCCCTTTTAACTTTGAGTTCTGTTTATTATATACCTGGCATTCCTTTTAATTTAATCTCTGTTAGCCAGTTGATTCATTCTCTTTCATGTACTATTACCTTCTCTAAACAATCCTTTTCTATGCAGGATTCGGGTACGGGGAAGACGATTGGAGCAGGCGTTGAGTCACGAGGTCTCTACTATCTAATTGCACCACCTTCTCCACCACCTTCTCCAGTAGCCTGTTCTCTCACAGAGTCTCCTGAGCTAATTCACAGCCGTCTGGGTCATCCAAACCTCTCCAAGCTTCAGCATATGGTTCCCTTTTTATCCAATCTTAAGTCTTTAAACTGTCATTCTTGTCAGTAAGGAAAACACACTCGCTCCTCCTTTGCTAATAGAGTCAATAAAAGAGCTGATACTCCTTTTTCTATTGTTCATTCTGATATTTTGGGTCCGAGTCGAACAACGTCTATTTTGGGTTTTCAGTATTTTGTCACCTTTATTGATGATTTCTCCCGTTGCACTTGGGTTTATTTAATGAAAAATCGTTCTGAGTTATTTTCAATTTATCAAAAGTTTTGTGCAGAAATAAAAACTCAATTTGGTGCTTCTATTCAAATCTTGCGCAGTGATAATGCAAAAGAGTATGTGTCTCTTGAATTTTCTAAATTTCTGGATACACAAGGGACGATACACCAGACTACCTGTCCCCACACTCCACAACAAAATGGAGTCGCTGAACGTAAAAATAGACATCTAGTTGAAACTGCACGTACCCTTCTCATTCATATGAACGTCCCACTCCGTTTTTGGGCAGATGCTATTATCACCTCATGTTTCCTTATCAACCGCATGCCCTCTTCTGTGCTAAATAATGATGTTCCCCACAGTATTTTGTTTTCCGGAGCACCTTCTTATCCTCTGCCTTTACATATTTTTGGCTGTACTTGTTTTGTTAATGATCTTACTCCAGGTAAAGACAAGTTGACATCCAAGGCCTTCAAATGTATTTTCCTTGGCTATACACGTTTTCAAAAAGGGTATCGTTGCTATTCTCCTTATCTCAAGCGTTATATCGTTTCTGCTGATGTCACTTTCCTTGATCAGCAGCCTTTTCACTCTACTCCGTCTCCAGTGTCCCAAGTTGATCAAGTCCTTCCTGTTCCTTTTCTTGACTTGTCTTTACCAGCTGCAGGTGACCCTATTCCAGAGGAGCAACCAATTACCTCCATACCTGCAGATCGTCCTCTCCTCACATACCAGCGTCGTCAGCCTGCACCTCCTCCGACTTTGCCTCTTGATGACTCATCGCCCTTTCCCGTCGGCTCTTCTCCTCCGGATCCTCCATCAGAGACTCCTCCCATTGCCCTTCGGAAAGGTATTCGATCCACTCGAAATCCTGATCCCTTTTATTCTTTCTTGAGTTATGACAGACTTTCTTCACAACATTTTACTTTTGTTTCTAGTCTCTCTTCTGTTTCCATCCCTAAAACCACAGGTGAAGCACTATCTCATCCAGGGTGGCACCAGGCGATGCTTGATGAAATGCAGGCACTTCACTCCAATGGCACTTGGGATCTTGTTCGTGCTCCTCCCGGGAAGTCTGTTGTTGGTTGTCGATGGGTGTTCACAGTTAAAGTTGGTCCTGATGGCACTGTTGATCGCCTTAAAGCTCGCTTAGTGGCCAAGGGATACACACAGATCTTTGGTCTTGATTATGGGGATACCTTTTCTCCTGTTGCTAAGATGGCTTCTGTTCGCCTGTTTCTTGCCCTTGCCGCCATTCATCACTGGCCCCTTCTCCAACTTGATATTAAGAATGCTTTTCTACATGGTGACTTGCAGGAGGAAGTTTATATGGAGCAACCACCAGGTTTTGTTGCTCAGGGGGAGAGTTCTGGAATGATATGTAAACTTCGGAAATCTTTATATGGCCTGAAGCAATCTCCTCGGGCCTGGTTTAGCCGCTTTAGTTCAGTTGTTGAATCCTTTGGATTAATCAGAAGCAAAGCCGATCATTCTGTCTTTTACCGGCATAGCTCTTCTGGCCAGTGCGTTTATCTCCTGGTCTATGTTGATGACATTATCATTACAGGCAGTGATCAGACCGGGATTGATTAGTTGAAAGAGCATTTATTCAATCAATTTCAGACCAAAGATCTTGGCAGACTTCGATATTTCTTGGGGATCGAAGTTGCACAGTCTAGGTGGGGCATTTCCATCTGTCAGAGGAAATATGCACTGGATATCCTAGATGAGACTGGCATGTTAGGCTGTAAACCCATTGATACACCTATGGACCCCAATGTTAAGTTATTACCAGGATAGGGGGAGCCACTGCCAGATCCTAGTCGCTACCGCCGACTAGTTGGAAAATTAAATTATCTTACTGTGACAAGGCCAGATATCTCCTTCGCAGTGAGTGTTGCAATTCAATTTCTTGATTCTCCCTGTGACTCCCATTGGGATGCAGTTATTAGAATTCTTCGATATATTAAAAAGGCGCCAGGAAGAGGTTTATTATATACCAATAAAGGGAGTTCAGAGATCTCTAGTTATTCAGATGCTGACTGGGCAGGTTCTCCTTCAGATAGACGATCCACCTCAGGGTATTGTGTTCTCTTCGGAGGAAATTTGATCTCTTGGAAGAGTAAGAAGCAAACTGTGGTCGCCAGATCCAGTGCAGAGGCAGAATATCGGGCAATGGCAAATGCAACCTGTGAGCTCATCTGGCTGAGTCAATTGCTGAAGGAACTCCATCTCTGTGAACAAAGGCCTATGAAGCTCATTTGTGACAACCAAGCCGCTTTGCATATATCCTCTAACCCAGTCTTTCATGAGAGGACCAAGCATATAGAAATTGACTGTCATTTTGTTAGAGAAAAGATCCAGTCAAAGGAGATCGAGACAACATTTGTCAATTCCAATGATCAACTTGCGGATGTATTCACTAAAGCTCTTAGAGGTCCCTGAATAGATCATATTTGTAACAAGCTGGGAGCTTTTGATATATACGCACCAGCTTGAGGGGGAGTGTTAGAAATAATATTAATTTATTATTATTAGAATAGTCTAGAATAGTCTAGATTGTGGGCTTGGCCCATTAGGTCATCCCATTAGGTCTTTTAGTCTCTATAAATAGAGAGCCTCCTTGTACAGACTTACACACTTGAATATACAATATATTTCAGATTCAATAAACTCTTGTATCTATGAAACAGTTTTCTTTGGGGAAGTATTCTTCATTGCTGAAAGTGAAATAATTGAGCCAAAGCATCATTTCTTTTAGTCTCTCTCATACCCAGGGCATAGGTGTAAGCTAAGAGATGAAACTGTTGTGCTAAACTTTGCACATGTGAAAGATAAACAAGTTAACCTTAAGGGGTGGCACAACTGGTAAGCGGGCTATGTCCAAGGAGCGGATTTTTTTTTTTTTTTTTTTGTAATATGGAGGGTTCAAGGCCCACAAAACAAAATTTACATTACACCAACAGTACCAGAGGATACACTCCTTGCATCCTTCAACAGCAAAGCCAACAGACGTGGAGGAGGGGTGGAATAGATTTGAACCATGCTATTGTTCCTGTCATAATTTTTCGCTAACCAATGGGCACAAGCATTATTTTCCCTGCAAACATGAATGCAACAAATCTCCCAATCCATAGCAAGCCATTTTCGAATCTGCAACACTACCCTGGATTCCCTAGGATCCTCCTGACCCATTTGCACTAATGCCATGGCATTAATAGAGTCACATTCAATCTCCAGTTTCTTTATCCCCGTTCCCCAAGCCAATTCCATCCCCTTTAAAATACTCCACAACTTTGCATCTAAGGGATTGCAGAAACCAATATCGAGGCTAAAACCACCTCTAAAAGTTCCATTATGATCCCTTAACAGACCCCCACAACTAGCTTGTTTCCTTCTCAGAGAAGGAGCAGATTTTTAGGTCTAAAAGGTCTGTGGTTCGATTCCTAGGCGAAACAACTTGGGTTTTGTGGCAAAAACTCCGCGCCCTATGTCACCAAGTGGATTAGTCTCATCTGAATGAATACAAATCTTTGACTATAAGATATTTCATATTCTTTGCATGCTATTGACAGTTGATCCTACTTTTCTTTGTCAGTCCTCATATAGTCATTTTTCTTTGGATAGAAACTATCTGCTTTATTTGAGTACCAGTTTTGTTTTGTTCATTATTCGAATTGTGGTGAATGCAGGAAGCTGGAGTTCATGTGTTATGCACTTTAATAACTTCCTTCCCATTTTCTATTCATCGTCATTATGACAGTGTAAGCTTCTCTTTCCCTTGTCACAACTTTTTTTACATGCTTAATTCCTGTATACATAATTAGAACTTTGTTTCTCAAATAAAGTCCACTACTTCCTTTAATACCTATTTTTCAGAACAAGAACTTAAATGTTAAATGGTAATTTTGATATCAGCTTCTCATTTTTTGAACAAGGAAGGAAATAAAAGATTAGCCAAAAAATTTAGGAATTCAAGGATTAGGAATTCAATAAAATAGAAAATGAATCGATGCACTTTGATTCAAATTCCGTATTCAACTATTTTATTTGTATTGATAAGTGAGAATGGATTCTCTTATGTTAAAATTATAGTTATCAATCTCGGATTATGGCTACACCGACACGTGATACAGGACACGACACGACACGCCGACACATTAATTCTAAAATTTCGACACGTTAGGACACATTTTGATATTAAGTAATATTTTTAATATATATAATATAGTTTACATTTAATACATATAGCAGTCCATAATAAGTCATATATCCAATTAAATATTCAAATTCCATAACATAAATATAAAGCAAAAATAATTTTTCATGCCTTGTTAATTTTTAATGTCAAATTCCATAACAGAAAATATTTGATTTATAAATTAATTTTTTATGTTTAGTTAAAAAGATAAAATAAAATAAAATTTGATCTAAAAAAATGTGTCAGAGTGTTGACTGTATGTCGGAAAACGTGTCGGAGCATTGACCGTATGTCGAAAAACATTGACCGCATGTCGGAATGTGTCAGTGTCTGACATGCATTTTTCTTCCAAATTGACGTGTCCGTGCTTCTTAGGATGATGGTGTAGAGCGGCCAACCTCAGAAACGTTATAGCGGAATGACGTCTATCCCTAAGACTTAAAACAAAAAATAATTAATACACATATAAATGCTAAAAAAAAATTCTAAAACCAAATTCAATTTGTAATAATTAATTAAAACTCTGTAATCTAGAGAAGTGGGAAAAAAAAGAATGTGATGGAAGAATACAACACAGAAAAAAAGAACAGAGACATACAAGCTCTGATGCTTGATGTGAACTGAGACCAAACCAAAGTATGAAAGGGAGAAATAGAGATGTTTGTGCAGTGGGTCAGTGGCTGGAAAATCGCGGTTATGTTTCTGATGTAAAACAATGGCAAATCATGAAAATACCCATAATAATTGGTTTGACAACTCAGAAAATAGGGAGGTAAAGAAGGGGTTTTACCCATGTAACTAGATAGCGGCTGCATTTTTTCTGTGATAGTGATCGCGACAGCGGCCAAAACAGCCGCAACTGAAAAACGCTCTGCAATATAAATCGTGTAGTGGGGCCACATGCGCTACTTCCCTGCTATAGCGCCACTATAACTTGGTATTAATAACTATGGTTAAAATTTCTCATAACCTTATCATCTAAATTTTGCGTTGATCTCTCTCTTGGTAGATATTTACAATTTTGACAGACCACATCTATTTAATATCTTTGAAGTGAGAAATATACACAAAATTTTCACATGACAAGTTTATGTGCAAATTTAACACGAGAGGATAGGATCCATTCTACTGATAAACTACCTTTTAGGTAAAATTTTCAAGTTCAGTTTTTTTTTTTTTTTTTTTTTTTTTTTTTTTTTTTTTTGAGTTAATGTGATTTAAGTTTAGTAGAATTCTGATATAGTCTAAGACATTTGTTAGTTTATGTGTAATATTTTTTGTTCTGTCTGAGTATGGCTGTGCATTGGGAGGGCAGAATAGTCTTTTGCTCACTTCTATACCTCACATACCCAATGTGGATTACATCTTTTCTATATTTTCCAATTGCCAATGCTGGGGATCGAACCTAGGACAAGTGGCTTACCGCTAGACCAACTCTATTTGTTGGTTATGATGCTTTATATAATATTATACAAATACATTTCAACCGGTTCAATCAGTGGCTCCCTAGTTGAATCAGTGACCCATTGACCCAAGACCCCGACCGTGTCAATGACCGGTCCGAGTTTAATAACATTGCTGGAGAGTGATCATTCTTAATCCACAATGGAAAATTTTGAAATTCGTCCATTACTAAATTTGACCTATATACTCTGTAATTTTATAAGTAGTAATAATACAATGAAATAAACATAAAAATTCAGCTAAAATAATTTTAACCATCTAGAAAGTTAATATTTTCATTGTTTTTGTATATTTTTTCCTTGTCATTCAAGAAAATCTAAATCAGTAGTTGATACTTATGATATAATTGTGTTTATTTATTATAGAATTCTAATCAGGTTTTACCTTCCTAATTAGTTAATACATATATGCAGTCTAAAAAAGAATCATAAGACACAAGGGATGTGCATGTGTGGCTAGATTTGCATAATTTTGAGATATTGATGCTTTTGCAGTTTGCACCTGCATACGCACCCGAATACTGATTTTCTTATTCTAGTCCAAGACCCTTGGGTGTGTCTCTTTGACCTGCATGATTAAAAAACAATAGGCATGGCATGTTTCCTTGTGATTGTTACTTGTTTTGCTTGTTGCTTTTATAAGGGAAATGTACATAAAAGCATTGGAGTTTCCTTGCTGCTGTATTCACAATTTGATTGTTTTGGATTTATGCAGGTTGAATCTGCTATTGCTTTAAAACTTTTGTCTGGAGGATGCAGTCTTGATATGTTGAAGGTAATATGTTTATCAAATTTCAAAGAGCCTATCTTCTATGGATTGTTGGTATAAGATGGATGGGGATGGATTCTTTGTTTGAAAATGAAATTAGGCGAGCAAGGGGAGAGAGACCGAGCAGGATGCATTCCCTCTCCGCATGCTTGTCAGCAACCACTTTTTGCTTAAAAAATTGTTTTACTATTTTACTATTTTATTTTGTTTTACACATTTTATTAGATGGGGATTATATTGTAATTGTATATTTATAATTCTACCCATTTCATTCCCTCCATAATTTTTTGTACAACTTCCGGACAAAGAAAAGCGACTCCATTCCATTTTGCCTGCATCCCTTTCATTTGATTCTTTTATTAAACCACTCCATTTCATTTTGAACTAAACTTCCAAAAGATAGCATTGATGAATTTTTTTTCTTCTATTTCTTTTTCTAGTTTAGAAGAATGCCTCATCCTTCACATTGTATTCTCACTTTTATATGCAAATTTTCTCTTGATAAATAAAAATAAGTATACATGTAGTTTTATTCTGATGTTTTCTGTCATCTGCTTGGTCTTGGACATCCAGAAACTTGCTAATTGCCTTGCATTACTTCCAAAATCAAGAGGAGATGAAGAAAGCTGGTCTGTGATGATGCAGAAAATTTTGGTTTTAATAAATGATCAATTAAATTTGGCCTTTCAAGGTCTAGAAGAAGGTAGATGTTGGTATTATCTGTTTCATAAAAGCCACTGTTAAAAGCAATAAGTTACCATCTTTTTCCATGTGTTACAGAAACCACGCGTAAGGAGGTTAGGAGATTGTTGGTTCTGCCAGGAAAATCTCCACCACCTTTAGGAGGGTATATATTGGCAGAAGCAGCTAATAGCAATACAACAAAGAGGTCTGTGCAGTCACTAATGTCTAATGTGTCTACACTTTTGTTTAGCTGTTGTGCGATGCTTACAAATTCATATACTGTTAAGGTACTGTTTAGTTTATCCAATTTATATTCCTATACTTGTCAGCTCTGTGTATCCTTTTTAATTTGGGAGAATAATGTTGTAAAGCAATGTGATTTTAATTGTTAGGTAAATGTGCCTGTTCGCCTGTTATTGGCCCTTATTGAGAGAATTCTGATGGTAAATGGCTCTTTGCCACCAATGGCACTGCCATTTTTTACTTCCAAGCAGCAAGAGAACATTTGTTCAGAACTTCCTGTTTTGCACTTGAGTAGCCTGGAATTGCTTAGTGCTATCATAAAGGCCACGGGCAGGTATGACTGCATGATATCCTTACCTTCCCCCTTTAAAAGAAAAATAAGCTAAATGGAAAAAGGAAATGTTGAAAGGGGGATTTGTAAATTAAATATAAAATTCTTGAAACCTTGACATTATAAAATTGTGTTTTTGGTCTATTATTTTAATTTCGTTATAACTGATTGCTGTTGTAATGTCAAGGTTCCAAGAATTATTGCTGTTATAATGTGTCTTCTATCATCTAAGCACTTACCTTGCACTGTTATGGTGTTCCTATCCCTGTTTCCATGCATGACTTCCATGTTCTTTTCTCTGATATATCTTTTATGTATTTATTTCTTGTAAGAATGCTGAATTCTACTTATTGCCCATATTTGTATTGCAGTAAACTATTACCACATGCTGCCTCTATTGTACGTATCATCAAAAAGTACTTCAAGACATGCGCGCTGCCAGAATTAAGGATTAAGGTCTATTCAGTCACAAGGACTCTGCTCATATCCATGGGTGCTGGTACATGAAATTTCTCGATTAAGTTGTCTTTCAACTTACAGTTGGTATTATCTTGTTGAAAGAATTTTGGGGCTGGGAAGTTATTCTTTTTATTATTCTTTTCGTATTCTTTGATGCTTTGTTTTTTAAATTTTGGAGGATATATTTTACTCTCCCCTAATTGTACTTTCCCCCACATTACTCTTTAACCACTTTGAACATTAACTAGTTGAGCAGTTAATTTCTCTGTAAGTGGAAATGTTTTTACCTAGAATTCCTTTTTGCAATTTTCCAGTTTATTTTCTATCAAAAAGTGATAAAAAAATACAGGAAGAGAAAGGGAGAGGGAAAGGAAAAGGGAGAAAAGAGAAATGCATAAGGCTAAGTGTATTTAATTTTAGTTCCATGTATCCTCCCTGCTTTCATCAACATACCTCTGATTTCATGTAATACTGTTTATTTTTACTGATTTTTTTTCCATATAGTGTTTCAACAACTTTATTCATAGACTGCATGGATGGTTCTTTCCTTTTTCAGCTTCCCTTTTTGGTGCCCCAAATTCCTTTGTTTCCCCTTCCTAGCTGTTTGATGAAGCTATATTTAATTTGAGCACACATAATGACTTTTACTTATAAATCATCTTGAACAGGAATGGCTTTAAGCATTGCACAGGAAATTATCCTTAATGCATTTGCTGATTTGAGAGCCATTGAGACTAAGAATATTGGCACATTGAATGGTTCAAATTCAAATGCCTCTACTGGAGCACTGCTGCAGCCATGTCAGAGAAAAAGGAAGCATAGCGGTAAAACTGGTTCTCTTCAGGAGCATGACAAAGGTGGTGGTTTGGTAGAAGAAGTTCCAAAGAACCACCCATTGACTCCAATTTCTCTAAGGATAGCTGCACTTGAGGCGTTAGAGGCTCTTGATACTGTGGTATGTATTTTTGTGTGTGAAATAACTAGTGGTGTTCCTTAATCAAACTTTCCCTAAACATCAATGGCTATTCTTGTTTAAATTTTGTGGTGTTATTATTGGGATTGGATGGAAAAGGAAAAAGAGAATATATTTGTTTGATTATCTTAGGTGATATCATGTATATATTGTAGAATCAATTAGGATTATATATATCTCGGATAGAACCATTGCAATTGTTAGAATATATGAAAAATATCTCATAATCTATAGATGGTATCTTCGAACAATCTAGAGAATCTTATATGATCTCTTTGGAATAGTTTCCTTATTTCTTTCTATTTCATGATTCATTTCCTTATTTAACTAGGATTTGGAATATAATATTACTATAAATAGGGATTTATTGTTTTTGTAGCTTGTATTGCATCCTAACACATCCTTCACAACAATATTAATATAATTTTATTATTCTGAGTATTTGTTTTCCTCCCTCTATGCCTAAATTCCTATAATTCCAACCGTAATTAAATACAACCAATTTCATCATACATAGTTTACTCTCTAAATTAAAAGTTTATTTAAGTAATGAGATTGAATAATTGTGATGCAAACACCGGTCTGTTAATCTTATTTGTACTGATATTTTAGGTAAAATACATGGTAATATAACTTGTACAAGCCCAGCACAATAACTCCAAACATAATAAGAATCCTAAGACAATGGTAATCCTATTATTCTAACAATACATGTTGGAAAATGCAAGTGTCACCTTTCTCACAACCATATAATAAATTAACACTATCATCAATTCATCATATTGTCTCTGTGGGAGGATATATTGAGTCACTGCTATCTTGGTGTGCCACGGTTTTGGAACATTATTTCTATAACATGATACATTTTTAGTTTTTTTTTGGTCCAAACAATCAGATCTTTTCCCTTTTTTTTTTAATCTAAAAGAAAGAAATTTTATTGGAGAGAAAATAATGGAACTATAAGTCGGAGAAGGACAAGATATCCTCCAAAGTCCAAACATGAAACTATATGCATAAGACAGCAGGAAAAATGACTAAGAATGCAGTGACCCTGCCCTATATAATCTGCATATCCAAGCTTGGAGCAACCATAAGCAGAACCCCAAAGATAAGCTAAATTTTTAACTCTTTCCCTAGACGTTATTTCAAGTATTTAATATTCTTAAACTTATGTAAACTGGTATGATTCACAATATGCCACTGTTATGCAATTTTAAGGCCACATTTATCTAGTTTACACGTGGGCTAAACAAAATTACATACAAAAATCGAAAATGAGGAAAATGTGTTCTGTTTTGTATGGGGTAAAATATTGTAGTGCTTACAGCAGTCCTTTTGATTTTTACCTGTGGAGTCAGTTTGGTAATATTGACCTGAAAAGTTTGGGGATGAAATTTTCTTCTCAATTTTAAGGTGACACCAAACTGGCCCTTGATGATGGAGATCTCAATTTTCTTAATTTTAAGGGGATTGCATGAAATTTTTATTTTTTTTCTCAGGCTGGTGCTTTAGGATCTGAACAGTGGAGATCAGAAGTTCATAGTCTTTTGATAGTCATAGCAATGGATTCTTTCAAAGAAGGACCAGCTAGTGAAGAAATAAGTGTGTTTCAGCAAAAGGAACCTGCTGCAACTGCCACAGATTTGCAGCTTGCTGCATTGCGAGCTCTTTTGGTATCTTTTCTTTCATATGCTTGGGAGCTGCCCCCATATTTAGCCCAGGGTCTTGAACTTTTCCGTAGAGGTACTTCTATTTGTCAATATGGAACTTCTTTTGTTCTTATTGAGATTGATATCCCTTTTGGTACTTTAGCTGTGGTAAAATATTGGGTTTTGTGTCTCTAAATAAGATATTTTAATTATGGTTCTTATTGTGAGTATTGGTAGTTTTCGAATATGTGCACCGAACTTGTTATAGAAAAAGCGGATAGGAGGATCCCAAAGAGACTTTGTAAGGATATCTACAAGCTGATCACTAGGATGAACAAACTCAATAATGATTTCCTTAGAAATAATTTTTTATTCTTGGTCTTTTCATGAAAGCCTGAATTTGAGGCGGTATGTAAAGCTGCTTGATTATCACAATATAAATTCATATGACAAACATTTCCAAACTTTAACTCATGAAGTAATTGCTTTATCCATGTATGTTCACTTGTGGCTATTGCAATAGCTCGAGATTCAACCTCAGCACTGGATTTAGTGACCAAATTTTGCTTCTTGTTTTTCACATATACAAGGTAGACAAAAAACACTTGGCATCATGAAGTATGGTTCCAACTGTCTTTTGGGAGTTAGTCTCACCATGACCTTAATGATTGGTCCGGTTTTGAAAACATTGGGTTTGGGTACCAAAGTCTATTAAACTGGACTGATCTATAAGAGCGGGAATGGGATCAGATCTGATTATGTGGTTTAAATAGTGTTCCATAATGAGAAGTTTGGGATGATTACACTGCATACAAATTAAATTGTGCAACTTGAAACATTGTCCACATTTTGACCAACATATCATTAGATTTTTACTGATATCTAAATTTGAAAGGATATAGTAACAAGGAAGGTTTTGTACTTGATAGCTAAGGTATTCTAATAATATTTATGTGTTTTTTAATATAAATTCCTCTCAATATTAATTTCCACTTACCAGTTAACTTCAGTTTTATATTGAATATAGAATTATCAAATTAAAAATAGCATTTTACATTCCTGATATGACTGTCAGATAACAACTTAAACCTTCTTCATACCTACCATTTCATGAAACATTATTTTAATTTTTCTCCTGTTTGCTTTACAAACATGAAATCTATGTCTGCAGGAAAGCAACAAACTGGAACAAAACTAGCTGATTTCTGCGCCTATGCTATGTTAACCTTGGACGTGCTTATACATCCTAGGACACATCCATTAGCAGATGATTTCTCTAAAAATAACAAATCTTCTGACTTAGATGAGAGTGCTAAATGGCTTGAAAATGGCTATGAAGCCGATTTGCCATTGGCTAAACATAGAAAACACACCAAAGAGCCTTCTGAAGTTTGTAGAGGAGGTAATGACCCCAAAGTGGTTTCTTTTGACCTGTCTTCTGTCACCAAAATCCAAGAGAGGGGTGAGATGGTTTCTGAGACTGCCACCTGTGCAGATATTGAAATGAGAACAGTTGAGGATGAAACCATTTTCAAGTCAGATCAACCTGCAGAATCTGTGGTGCAATCTCAGGATGAAACCATTCTCAATACTTGCACCACAAGCATCCCTGTGGCTGAAGCTCCAAGTTCTGTAGCTACTGAAATAGTGTCTGAGAGGATTGTTCCAAACAGCACTATGCCTCATAATGAAGCCAGTCATGTGGTATCAGACCAAGGAGGAAGCTCAGTTAATAAAGACTTTGAATTAGCTTCCCAGAGTAATAGCTTATTATTGCAAAGACCATCAGACTCTATTATGATTCAGGATTTTGCACTTCAATCTGATAGTGACAATTCATTGGATGATTATTTTCCGGAAATTGTGGATGGAAACCCTGATACTGATTCTGATTCTGATACTGGTTCTGATACAGATTCTGATTAAGGTAAAGATTTTGGATAAAATGATTTTGCAATTTCATTTTATCCAAAGAAGCATAAGATTTATTTTTGTTCAATGTCATTCTATTTTTCTATTTTTTTTTCCTTTAGGTAATGCAGCATGTAACTTTTTAAATAACCAAAATTATCTATAGTTACAATGTCCATTCTGTTGTCTTGTCCTGCTGAACAAATCTGGCTAGCCATGTATTTGGCAATTGAATAGCAATGTGACAAAATCATTGCATCAAGTTTGGCAGAAGAACCCTTTGAAGTTCCGGCCAGAAAGTCTCAATCTTAGGAAAATTATATCACATGGTTCAAGTCGTGGAGATACTTAAAAGTTTAGATTTGAGGTTTGAGTTTTGACTTGTTTAGTTTATTTTTGATTAAATTATTTTCGTTTCTTTCATTTAATTTCTTATTAAAGTATTTATAGATTTATTAACTTGATATGTAGTGAGTATTTTATGTTAGATGTGAAATAACTATAATTATAATTTATCAAATAATAAAAATATATGAAATATCATTATCTCTATCCTTTATTCTTTTATAAAATAGTCACTTTTTGTTTATATATATAAAATCTATCACTTTTTGTTTAATTAATTAATACGACTTCCTAAATTATAAACATTGGATGGACAGAAATCAAGGGTTGAGATGAGGAGTAAGACTTATAAGTCTTACTTAGGAGTCAAATGACCTCTCTCCATATATATATATATATCAGAAAAATATTTTTGCAGTTAATGCAGATAAGTTATCTGCATTTACTCCAAAAACGACATCGTTTTGGGATTGAAATATTAAAAAATTATAATTACAAAGATTATAATATCCCTGAAATAAATTAAAATTACAAAAAACACCATGATTTTCGTCTCAAAACAACGTCGTATTGGGTTTACTGCATGTATCTTATCTGCAGTAACTGCAGAAAAAATGAATCCTATATATATGGATTAATATTTGTTCTTTTAAATGATATAAAATTATATCATTTTAGTTAAAATTATTGTATTTATGTACAAAAAAAAAAAATTTATTGTATTTATAGTGAGAGAAATAGAAATTATGGTGCGAAAAAGTGGACAGTAAGGATAACAACTCAGATATTTCTAGCTAGTCCTAAAATTTACAAATTTTATGAGATTTAATAAAATGCATAAGACATATTTTCTTTAATTAAACCTTAGTCTTTAGATTTATTTTAATGTAATAAATTTAGCCTTGCACTTGTCTGTGTTACAAGTGTGTGACAGTAACATTTCCCCAAATTACTTTTAGCTTCGCTGTATTTATAAGATTCTAATAAATAATAAAAATGTAAATTTTGGCAAATTTTGCTGTTTTAAGAATATCTTAAAATTGTTAGTGGGGGTGTTACAAAATGGTGTCACAGCCCTTGGTTCGATTTGGGTTTGCTTTTGATAGTACTAAAGGGATCAAAAGATCCCGTAGTTAAATAAATAAGTACAAAAATAATTAAATGAAATAATAAGGAGCAAATAAATAATAAATAAAAATCGTGAGAATGAGATAGTTAAAAGGGTTTCTTATTATCTTTTAAATATGCTTTAATTTTGAAATATTGATCATGTTAATTATGTGCTAGTAATTGCTTATATGTTATCTTTCATAATTCATTGGTTGGAAAAAGGAATAAATAACTTTCTTTAAGATTTTTAGAGTTGTATTTGAATTTGTTACGTTTTTTTCTAGCAAATGAAGCATGATATATGCGATAAAAATTCCTATTTACTTAAAGAAGGTATTTTGAGGTCAAAACTTTTTCTTTTAGAGGGTTAGAGTCAACAATTCATTAATATAAAAATATATATATATATATATATATATATATATATATATATATATATATATATGGGAAAAACATTTCTCAAGTTGCTTGAGACAATGTTATTTCCGGTCACCCCAAAACTACGTCGTTTTGTTTATTTATTTCATTATATTAATTGATTCACCTTTGAATAGTTATGATTCCCCTTTTCTCTCTCTTCCTTTATCACCATTGATCCATCTTTGTACGGTTATGATTTAGTAGCCGGAGATAACATTGTCTCAAGCAGCTTGAGAAATGATAAGCCCTATATATATATATATATGTGTGTGTGTGTGTGTGTGTATGTATATGGGGTCAGGATCATTTTACACCAGTGTAAGTTACACTCTTAATCTTGTCCGCTAATCCCACTTGTATCTAAGGACTCAAATTTTTTAGTAATGTGAGTCATTGGATACAAGTAGATCAATGGTCAAGATTGAGTATAAGACTTCTAACTCTTACACCGGTGTAAGAATATCCTGCCCCATATATATATATATATAAAAGTTATATTATCTTAAATTTATAGTATCATATGTTGTCTTGTTTGCTTGCTAAATTTTATTTGTGAAAGGGCACAAACATTTAGGTTTTTTACCCTTTTGCCCCTTATTAATTAATTAATAATTATTTTGCCCCTGATTCGAAACTATTTATCAATCTGCCCCTCTTTAATCGACTACCTTGCATTTTTAATCGACTAAATGGCCAAAACAAACAAAAAATGGCTGTTGGGAGATTTAGTCGACTAAATCTCCCTATTTAGTCGACTAAATCTCCATATTTGACAACAACAAAAAAAAAGCCAGTATGATTTTAATCGATTAAGTAAGGAGATTTAGTCGATTAAATCTTCCAACAACCATTTAGTCGATTAAACATGCAAAGTAGTCGATTAAAGAGGGGCAGATTGATAAATAGTTTCGAATCAGGGGCAAAATGATTATTAATTAATTAATGAGGGACAAAATGGTCAAATTGCCCAAACATTTAAGTTTCGAGGATGAAATATATTTTAAGAAGGGAAGAATGTAATACCCCAAATTTAATAATAATAATAATCATAATATAAGATAGTAATAATAAAATTTATAAAATTAAATTTAATAAAATTAATAGTAATAATAATTAAAAAGTATTAGTATGGGTATTTTAATTCAACAATATCTTAGTTAATAATCCTAAGCAGTGTTTTAAAACCCCACCCCACCCCCCGGGTTTACCCGGGTCAACCCTGACCCCTCCCCTCTGAGGGTTGGGGTCACAAGTTGGACCCTATATGCACATCGACCCCTCCGACCCCCAAAACTCGGCCGGGTTTCAGTGACTCCCGGGTCAGAGGGGTCAAAGGAGATTACTGCATGTTTTTTTTTAAAGAAAATTCCATGAAACAAAATTGTTTTATTAAAAAAATAAAATAAAAATGCTTGCAAACCTAAATCTAATCGTTATCTTCTCTCCCAGCGACCTAGACTTGTGGTATCTTGATACTTTGGTATCATTAGAATATGAATTTTGTACTTTGGTATTTTGATACTTTAATTAGGTTGTGTAATATTGACTTGTGGTTGTAATTGATGAATTATGTTAAATATATTTTGAATCTTTAATGATTGGTGATTTGTTTTTTAATATTTTCATACAGGATATATATATATTTATATTTTTTAATATATAAAATCGGGTCAGCGTAGTGACCCCGTGACCTCCCGGTTGAACCCGTGACCCTTGACCCCTGACCTCGGCCGGGTCGATGGCCGAGCCGGGTTTTTAAACACTGATCCTAAGTCAACCTTGAGACAGCAAGTGAGTCAATCACAAGTCAGCGATATTCTGAGCCATAAGAAAACTAAAAAGAAAAGAAAAATAATCATAAGAAAAAAAGGAAAAGAATCCTAAAAAAAGGAAAATAATCATAAGAAAAAAAGGAAAATAATCCTAACCACTAAGAAGAAAAAGGGAAAAAATTAATTTCTAGAAGAAAAGGAAACAAATTCTACAAAGCCCATATTGTGAGCCCAACTTAGAAAGGAAAACTTCAACTATAAATAGGGGCTTAGTGTGAATCCAGCTTGAGTCAAGTACTAGGCGACCAGGTCTAGAATATCGTGAGACAGTGGTCCCCTAGTGGGTCTACTTCCTCGGCGAATCTTCAGCTCTCTTTCTCGTTCCACATAGCCTGTGAGACATAGGTACGCTGTCTGTGCCTCCCGAGTATATCTCATTTGTATTGTCTAGGAAGAACATGCGTGGTGGGATCGATGAGCTCAAGTGCAGACCAAGGTGACTCAGATGATGAGGACTCGGCCATAATAATGTGCTACAAATTTTAAAAATATATTGTCATAATTTATTTATTTGAATTGTCATAATTTATTTAATTTCAAATAATTAACATGTCTAATATAAGAATTAAATTTTTTTAAATAAGAAATAAATTTATTATTTTTAATGCAAAATCACTAAGAATAATACAAATTGGTTATGTATATCTTAGATCCCTGATCATAACCTAGGTCACTAACAATATTCCAAGCCACTAAGCATGTTATAAGTCACTATGTCGCTAAAGTATTTCTTAAGTCACTATTCATAAAATAAGTTATTAACAATTCTCTAGGTCACTTACAATTTCTTAGGTCATTAATAATTTCCTAAGTCATTAACAATTTACTAAGTCGATATCATAACATTTCTATTACTGTAATTTAAAAATATACAAAGCAGACATTAGATTTATTTGAGTAGCAGAGCTTCGTTACATAAAAAACGAAAGCAAAACTAAAAGACAAATCTATAGAAAGAAGGTTGGAGTGAAAAAGTGAAGTTGAAGTATTTATAGGAGAGCAAAGTTGCGCCTGGATGAGGCGTCACTTTACACATGTTACACCTGTGTAAGGCATAACAAGTTATGCCTGTGTTGGATGCCACTGAGTGCACTAGATCCTTCCATTGATTCAAACATGTTATGTTTTTTTAAATTTTTATTTAAATATTAATATATTAATTTTTTTCTCCAAAAGTAATAATTATTAATTAAACAAGAACTTTACCATTTATTTATTTAGCTATAAATAATGGTACAAAGTATGAAACAGATAATTTTATATATTATTATTGTGAATTTCTAAGCCAATAATCATACACTGCACTCTCATCCCAACACGACGGTAATTTCATCGAACACCTAACGCGCGATGCCGACGGGTGAACTCCGTTACGCATCGCCTCCGAAGCCGATGGCGAATTCCTCCGCCGGCGGTTACGAGGACGAGGGGTGGCTGTGGGCACAGATTAAGGCGGAGGCACGCCGCGACGCCGAGTCGGAGCCGGCGTTGGCCAGCTACCTCTACTCGACGATTCTCTCTCACTCGTCTCTGGAACGTTCTCTTTCGTTCCACCTCGGTAACAAGCTTTGCTCCTCCACCTTACTCTCCACCCTTCTCTATGATCTCTTCCTCAACGCCTTCACCTCCGATCCTTCCCTCCGATCCGCCGCCGTCGCCGACCTCCACGCCGCTCGCCAACGCGACCCCGCCTGCGTCTCCTACTCCCACTGCCTCCTCAACTACAAGGGCTTCCTCGCCTGCCAGGTTCCCCAAATTCTTGAATTTTAGGGTTTTTCTGTTTTTTCAATCTTCAATTTCAGGGTTTTCAGTTTTTTCATCCCAAATTATTCAAATTTAGGGTTTTGAATTTGCACAACCTTGCGTTGTTTGTGATTGTGTGAGCGTGTTTGCAGGCGCACCGTGTGGCGCACCTTCTGTGGCAGCAGTCCCGGAGGCCATTGGCGCTGGCGCTGCACTCTCGCATCGCCGACGTGTTCGCGGTGGACATTCACCCGGCGGCGAGGATCGGAAAGGGGATTCTGTTCGACCACGCGACGGGGATGGTGGTGGGGGAAACGGCGGTGATCGGGAACAACGTGTCAATTCTGCACCACGTGACACTGGGTGGGACCGGGAAGGCTGGTGGGGACCGGCATCCCAAGATTGGGGATGGGGTGCTCATTGGTGCTGGTGCCACCATTCTGGGGAATATTAATATTGGGGAAGGTGCCAAGATCGGTGCTGGCTCGGTGGTTTTGATCGACGTGCCGCCACGGACCACGGCGGTGGGGAATCCAGCTAGGTTGGTTGGTGGGAAGGAGAAGCCCTCTAAGCATGAGGATGTGCCTGGCGAGTCCATGGACCATACTTCCTTCATCTCTGAGTGGTCAGATTATATTATTTGAATTTCAAAGATGAATTTTTTTTTTTGGTGAATAAAAAGAAAGCTTGAAACCAAATACTAGTTGGATTTGGATGGCTTTAGAAGCAAATTTGCATTTTCTCCCTCCTATATGTGATAAGCAAATTTGGATTTTCTTCTCCTATGTGATTTGCTGTTCTGGGATAAAATTATAGTTCCCGTGTTATTATATATTGTTTATGTTGCACAGGAATCGACACCAACATGAACTCCGACATATTAATTTCGAGAGATGATATTTTGACTACCAAAACTTTCCACTGCCACCTTACTACCTTTCTAATCACGATTGGATTAATATTTTCTCTCTCTTCAAATTTTTTTTTTAACATTCTCTCTGTTTGATCTAATGGTGATTTGATAGGTAGTAAAGTGGTAGTGGACACTTTTGGTAGTCAAAATATCCCTCCTTATTAATTTTAGAGTAAATATTTTTGTTCTCGTAACAAATTTTACAATGTCCGCTTTAGTCCCTAGCAACTTTTGGTAGTCAAAATACCCCTCCTTATTAATTTTAGAGTAAATATTTTTGTTCTCGTAACAAATTTTACAATGTCCGCTTTAGTCCCTAGCAAATAAAAATGGTCATTGTGGTTCTTAAAAAATTTAAAATAGATCTATTTTAGTCCTTTTGGGACTAATATGGATCTTTTTTGAATTTACAAGGGACTACGATTTCAACTAAATAGGTCCATTTTAAATTTTTTTTAGGGACCTCACGAGCCTTTTTATTTGTTAGGAACTAAAATGAATATTGTGAAATTTGCTGAGGACCAAAAAAAATATTTACTTTTAATTTTAATTTTTTTTAAATTTTAATGTTACAACATATTTTGATATTAAATAAGTTTTTAATATATGTAATATAATTTGTATTTAATATATGTATCACTTCATAAGAAATCATATAATCAATTAAATATTTAAATTATATAATATAAATATAAAAAAATAATTTTTCATATTAAATTACATAATAGAAAATATTTATTTAATAAAGTAATTTTTTATGTTTAACTAAAATGATAAAATAAAATAAAATTTAGATTTACATGAACATGTGTCACAAAATATTGATTGAATTAACCAAGTGTTGGACACGTGTTCGAGGTGCATTTCTTCACAAAAATTAACTTGTTTTTAGCATATATACTATAGCTACTTAAATGTACTCACCTAACTGTATTTACGCTCAATTTGTTGTCAAGGTCATCATTTCTGATGCCACTCAAGTTCATGTGTTAATTGTTTAAGTGGGCGAGGAATGTTTTACAAAGTACGAAAAATTTATCTGTTGTTCTGAGAGTTGAATTATACGTTTTGATTGATATTTTGTAGTGAATAAACTGTGTATTTAGAAGTAAACTTGTAATGTAAGTCTAATAAGGCAATGTAGGTTACTGATATGTAAATTTTGGTTAGTGGAAATTTGGGCATCGTGCAATGTAATAAGATATGGTGCAGAATACAAAAGCTTGTTTGGTTGATTAAGTAAATAGGAGTTAGTTTTAAACACTTGAGTTTCCGACATTAATTCCATTTCCAAGGATTATAATTATCTTGCAAGAATATGGCTTTGTATTATCAGAAGTAAAATTAGAAAAGAAAACGCTAATATCAAAACCGAAAAAGTGGTCTCTACTATCTTGAGCTCATTGTGGAAGGGTTTGCAGAGCTGTTCTCCTATCTTTCGCAAGACCAGTTTTGGTTTGGTATATATTCAGTCGAACGAGGTTGGTTAGTCTTCTCAATTTATTCTCACATGAATCAGTACTGACCACAACACAAAAGTCTCTGCGTTGTTTCGAGCTAGGATTAGATTTTAATTTAGTTGATTTTAAAAGAATTAATGTTAGAAAGTTTTGATTTTAGAAAAATTTTGTATCTACATTTAAAATCTTACACTCCTCGTTACACTTGCCATTTTTTGGGTAAGAAATAGAAAGAGGAGGAAAGTGAGATTGGTTTGATTTTTTTTGTTTTTCTAAAATGAGAGGGAGTAAATGTATGGATTTAAGCGTAGAAATATCATTGTTTTTTTTTGGAAGAAATATCATTGTTTTGATTTTAATTGAATTGGTGCAAAAAAGAAATTTTATTTTGAAATGATATTTTAAAAGTTAATTAAAACATGAAAAAAAACATATGTCATTTTGAATGACATAATTTGACGTTATTTTAGATAAAACAACGTTTTTTTAGTATATATTTGATAATTTTTTATATTCTGTCACCTCCATAAAATTAGGAAGAGAGAGAAAGTGGAAGATAGAAAATATAAAAAATCATCAATTATAACTTAAAACAACATAGTTTCATATAAAATGAGACAAAATTATATAATTTAAAATCACATACTTTTCCCTTATAATATAGGCATTATTGGTATGGGATAGGATATTGTCACACACAAATAATGTTACGCACAATGTTACGACCACATCTTAACCGTTGATTTTCGCCAATCAAAGGTTATCATTTATTGCGAATTAATAATTAATTAATGAGTTTGATTTGAAAAATGATAACCGTTGATTGACGAAAATCAACGGTTAAGATGTGGTCGTAATTATTTGTGTGTAAGAGTATCCTATACCTATTGCTATAAATATAGGCATCCCGAAAAGAAAAATGCTACAAATATAGCATGCGGTGTTGCATGGCGCACTCACACACCCCTCACAATTCTTCATATCATTTCCTTTCACAGCAGCCATCATAAATATTCCCCTAAATTTTCTCCACCTTCTTCTCCTACGTATCCTAAACAAGATAAAGACCAAAAAAAAATCAACAACAACGTTGTCATGAACAAGGATAATATTTCAGCTGCATGAAAAAATGAACACTCAGTTGCAACAACAACAACACCAACAACAAGACCAATACCATAAACAAGAACACGAGGAACAAGAAGGAGAAGAAGAAAACCGGTTGCTACAATCCGAATGCGAGACAATACAATTGTCCTCACCTTTCTCTTCATCACATTCAACTTGTGAAGATGGAAACGCAGAAGACTACGTGTATGCAGACAAGGACAAGGTTCAAATATTCGACTTGGAGTCCGCCGGCGCCGGCGTGTCGACGTCGGTGCCGCCGTTTTCATGGAAGAAGCTGTGGCTGTTCACGGGGCCAGGGTTGCTGATGAGCGTGGCGTTTTTGGACCCAGGGAACCTGGAAGGAGACCTACAAGCTGGTGCCATTGCTGGGTACTCTTTGCTTTGGTTGTTGGTGTGGACAACCATCATGGGGTTGCTGATACAGCTTTTGTCGGCGAGGCTTGGGGTGGCGTCGGGGCGGCACCTGGCGGAGCTGTGCAGGGAGGAGTATTCGAATTGGGCGAGGCTTGTTCTGTGGGTGATGGCTGAGTTGGCATTGATTGCTGCTGATATTCAAGAGGTTATTGGAAGTGCCATTGCTATTAAGATTCTTAGCCATGGGATTGTGCCTATTTGGTTTGGTGTGGTAATCACTGCCTTAGATAGGTAACCTACACACATTTTATATGTCTATCACTTTAGGTTATATTAGAAAGTTACACGTTAGAAAATATAATAATTTTATTTTTTATACTAAATTTAAATTTTTGGATTGAATTAATTTTTATATGATATTAAAGTTAAGCAATGGGGAGGGGTTAGAGGATGATCCTTTGCCTTCAAGTTTATCAAAATTTATGAGAAATCATACTCTCATACGTTGCATAAGCTGATTTCTTATGATGATAAAGACTAATATAACCCTGCAATAAATTAAAATTACAAAAACACTTTATTTCCATCCCAAAGCAACGTTGTTTTAGGTTCACTAGAGATAATTTATCTCCGTTGACTTTTATCCTTAAAAAAATATGTGATGTAATATAAGTTCGTCCCTCTTCATCCTTGTTATTCCAAAGAAAACTTGGAGAATTCTTCAAATCTGACTATACATGGACATGCAACTAACTGTATTGCCATGCCTAATTTAATATGAATTTTGAATTTTTTTGTCCTCTTTAATAAAATTTCATGGCTCCCCCATTAATTGAACTTCTACTATCTAAGGGTTCAATTTCTTGCATCATTCTTCTAATAAAAGGTTTAATTTCTATATTTCAAATTCTAAAAAAGGGCTCTTGATAGAATGGGCATGTTTCAAGGTGAACAAGGTAACCTTATTTGTGTTCCACATATACGATGTTTTATTTGATAATAAGTGTGGTAAATATATGAATGAATGTTATGGTTCACAAATTTTAATCAAGCTTTTTGTCTCTTGTTGAACAGTTTCGTCTTTTTATTTCTCGAGAACTATGGAGTTAGGAAGTTGGAAGGTGTTTTCGCGGTTTTCATTGGAACTATGGCCTTCTCTTTTGCATGGATGTTCTTTGATACAAAGCCCAGTGAAGAAGAACTTGTGATGGGTAGGAATTTATCTAATGACATATAGTTTCAGCACATTCGTTTTATTTGTATGATGTAAAAGTAGGGGAATGATCCGTTTACAAACTTTTTTTACAAATTACACTAAGTCTGATCAGTCATACACTTTTGATTAAAGTATAATCGATCAGATATAGTGTAATTTGTAAGAGTTTGTAAATATAATTTTCCCCGTAAAACTACATTACTTTTTCTTTTTTTAATGTCCATTCCGATTTCCAATGTCCAAATATATATGTCATCAATTATCGTATTTTATTTGATAGATTTTGATTCTTTCTTGCAGGTATTTTGATCCCAAGAGTTAACTCAAAAACACTTCGCCAAGCTGTGGAAATTGTGGGTTGTGTTATTACCCCACATAATGTATTCCTCCATTCTGCATTAGTACAATCAAGGGACATTGATATCCGTAACAAAGGTCAGGTTCAAGAGGCTATCAACTACTACTCGATTGAGTCTTCAGTTGCACTTTTAATCACCTTGGTGATCAACCTATTTGTGATAACTGTTTTCGCTAGGGTGTTCTATGGTACAGAACAAGCCACAAGCATAGGATTAGTAAATGCAGGGCAATATCTTCAGGAAAGGTATGGTGGAGGTTTATTTCCAATTCTCTATATATGGGGTATTGGTTTATTAGCTGCTGGACAAAGTAGCACCATTACTGGCACATATGCTGGCCAGTTTATCACAGAGGGTTTTCTGAAGCTCAATATAAAGAAGTGGTTGAGGGCATTGATCACTCGAAGTTGTGCAATTGTTCCAACTATGATTGTAGCAATTGTTTTTAATACATCAGAAGGTTCATTGGATACCTTGAATGAATGGCTTAATGTGCTCCAAGCAATACAGATTCCTTTTGCACTTATCCCTCTTCTTACTTTGGTGTCCAAAGAGGAGGTCATGGGGACCTTCAGAATAGGGCCTATAGTAGAGGTAAGCTATCCATCTAATCTTTTAGTTGTTTTTCGTTCAAGTTTTAATACTAATTTTATTAATTAAATGATCAGTGATTAACTGAAGTGCTCATAAAGATGTTTTGATTATTTTAATGGGTAGTTTAATTTACAATGCTATAAATTCCAAGTGCCAAGAATTTGATAACCAAGCAAGGAAAGGTGCAAGACTCAATAAGACATAAGTACTTATTGTTTAAAAGCAAGGGATATTCTATCATTTTAGAGTAAACTTGAGTTCCAAATGTTAAAAGTTGTATCTGTACTTATCTATAACTTTATCAATTTTTGTGATGCAGAGGGTGTCTTGGACTGTGGCTGTTTTGGTAATAATGGTTTATGGATATATGCTATTAGATTTCTTCCTCTCAGAAGTGAAGGGGCTGTTGTTTGGTTTTTTAGTCTTCCTTGGTGCTGCAGCATGGATTTCATTTATTGCATATCTGGTTAGACATAGTGGTGCTATTACTTCTATCCTGGTGAGGTCCCCTAATTCTAAAGGCTTCTTCTCTCTTGCTGGGAACTAAGACAGCAAATCCATATAAGTTTTGGGGCATAAAAAGTCTGAATGATGTTGCTGCTAGTTCCAAGTTGCCAATTTTGAAGGAGGGTCATAGATACTATCTTCCAAAAGGAAACATTGTTTCAACAGAACTGTCTCTTAACTTGGAAAAGGAATGCAAGCCCATATAGTTGAAACTTGAAAGAAATCATACTTTATCATTGTCTTCTTTTTGCAACTGAGAACTTACACACCACAAGATGATGGTATCATTATCGTGAAGGTCAAAGCATCACTACATGTCTATATCATGTAAGAAACTTTTACTAATTAAGCTTTATGCAAGATTCTTTTATACAGAAATTAGAATAAACCACTTGGTTATAAGTTGAAACAGCTTAGGATGTAATATATAGTCCAATAGGATTATTTTGTGGTATGGTTGATTTTCAAGTTGTACTAGTGTTTACAAGAAAATGGATAAGAATAGTAGATAAAAAATTTCATGGCTTCTTGGATATATATATATATATATATATATATATATATATAGGAATATTGTTTTCTCATGTAACAATAGAGAAAAATATTCTCTTATAGACACAAATATGAGGTGAGATCCACTTTGTAACATCCCCGTCTCGAGCCGGTTCAATTAACATACATATGATACAAACAGAAACAGCGGAAGACTTAACTTACGAAAATACGAACTAACTTTTTCTTTTTCTTTAATCCTTTTTCACATGACATATCACATTGCATACTTCTTCTAATTTAATTCTTATTTTACGGAGACGAAAATCGGGCAGAGTAACCTCTGTAAATCGGACAACTGGGAATTTTCCAATCCCACACTCAAGAGTTCCTGATAGACAGTTTAAACAATATATATTTCCAGAAGTACCAGTCATGCAAATATACTCAGATACCCATCTATTGGCGCATGCTGAACTTGGCTCCGTGCCACAAATCTAATAGCATGCAATCTAATACATAACTGAATACTACATAGTCATATCATCATGCCTGAATACATAAATGTACATGTATCAAATATGAACACTATGCAACAATACATCTTTTCCAAAAATACGTCTAAAACAAATAGTAGCATCCGACCACCCAGAACTCCACATCCTCATACTAGTACCTCTAGCCACGGTTAGTGTCCTTGTCCCATGAGGCTCTTCAATTAACTGTTTTCCTGAAATCATATCCCCAAACGGGGTTAGAGACGAATCTCTAGTAAACTCCAGGTTTATGGAAAACCCTCCATACCCTGGGCTCACTTCCTGCATGACAGTCAGATACATAATATACAAAACATCATATAAGCAATTATCATAACTGAACAAAGCATATATACATATCTTATCAAAGACAAACGCAGTCATTCCCAAGGGATGACCCCAAGCGAAAATCAACACACGTAACAAATATCTTTTACAAAAATCATCACAATACTCACATCAGAACAAAACGTGTTATATCAAAGATGTACGCAATCGTTCCCAAGGGATGACCCCAAGCGGAAATCAACGTACGTAACAAATATCATTTACAAAATCATCATACATATCCCATAAAACATGTCATATAATCAAATATCATAACTAAACAAAACATATACACATATCTTATCAGAAACGTACGCAGATATTCCCAAGGAAGGACCCCAAGCGGAAATCAACGCACGTGTTCCCAAGGGAGGACCCCAAGCGGAACCAGAACATATCAGAGGCGTACGCAGTCATTCCCAAGGGAGGACCCCAAGCGGAAATCAACGCACGTGTTCCCGAGGGAGGACCCCAAAGCGGAACCAGAACATATCAGAGGCGTACGCAGTCATTCCCAAGGGAGGACCCCAAGCGGAAATCAACGCACGTGTTCCCGAGGGAGGACCCCAAAGCGGAACCAGAACATATCAGAGGCGTACGCAGTCATTCCCAAGGGAGGACCCCAAGCGGAAATCAACGCACGTGTTCCCGAGGGAGGACCCCAAAGCGGAACCAGAACATATCAGAGGCGTACACCATCAGTCCCGAGGGAGGACCCCAAAGCGAACATCCGGGTACTATACAATCAATGGCCAGATATTGTTACAGAAATCATATTACAGAAGTCATATCATAACAAAACATATCATATTAACACATATCAAAGTAAATACATCAAAACAAAACATATCATATTATCATATAGCTCTATATGAATGCATCTATATCATATATCTCATACATATTATACAACCTGACCACAGTCCGTACACTATGGCGGAACACAAAGTAGGAGCGAACCCCATAAACATAGAGCTTACCTCTTTGAGCTTTACAATCTTCTTACTTGAAGAACAAGCTACTTATCATACTCCACGAGAATCCAAACGTTCACAGTCCCTAGGTACACCTAGAGAAGGAATTCAACATAAAACTCAATAAAATGATATAATGCCATGTAAATATACAAGACACACACTTTATTGTTTATTTTCTTTTTACTTAATCATATTAAGTCATGAGTGGGTGGTTCTTTGTTCAACAAATCCCCACAAAATTCCATATATTCACTTAGTCTTAGGATAGTCCCAAAAGGCCTTTAGAACACTCATTACTCCTCTTAGCACCTAAAAGCCTATTTTTCCCAATTTAAGGCCGAATGCCCATTACAAAGGAGCTATAAGATTTCTCTTTGTCTAGTGCCTAAACCCAAGCTTAGCCACCTATATAAATTATTTTACGCATATAAGTGTCCTCACTTTGCGAAACAATATCTCCGAACATATACCTCATTTGAAAATGGCCAAAACTCATTTTAAGGCCATACAAAGGAGCTACCTTATTTTCTTTTTTATTTCACCAAAGCGAAGGTCCATACACCTTAGAATATCATTCCACGCATAAAAGTATGCTCGCTTTGTAAAACAGTAACTCATAGCACATACTTCCTTTGAAAATGGCTAAGAGGCACATAAAGGAAATCATGCCAACTTCATGATTTCAATGCTTTACTCCATCAAATTCAAGCTTATCACACACCTCTAATCCAAGATTCGTTAATTGATATATACGACACTGTTCATCTCTACAATACTATTCATGTATGTGTTACTATTCACGTATACGACACTATTCAAAAATACGGTATTTTTAATTTTCCAAAATACATTTTCACCGTTAAAATTCTCATCTAAACACTTTTCTCAACATGAGCTAAACCTGAATTAAGCTCTAACATGCTCAATCAATCCAAATTTTTAAAATGAAAACCTATATTCAATCTTTCTCAAAACTCAAAGAAAACAAAGATTTCTTAACATGAACTTACCTAGAATGAAGGGAGAAGCTTGCTTCAAGCTCCCATGGCTTCAAGCTCCATCAAAACCCATATTTTCCATGAAATTCGAATTCTTTGGGGGAGAAGATCTCTCTCTACAGTGAACCCCACTCAGAAATACTGGTACCAATAGATTCCTCTCGAAATTTCTCACAGGTTTGGCTTTGGAACGGAGTGATTTGGAGGTCTCCAGCTCAAGTTATGAATTTTGGAAGAATTTTAATCAAAATCTCCATTTTCATTTTCTTTCCTTCGTTCTCTCTGTCTCGCGTCCGTAAAGAGAAGGGAACAGTGACTCCCTTGAGTCACTTATATAAATTCATTATACTAGCGGGTATAAGCTCATCTATCTACACACCTCCATTCATTACCAAACTTTAACCAATAGACTAGAATATTTTTCTAGTCACGTTTCTATTTTTACTTTCACTTTTAGATAACTTTATTTATCCACATTTTTTACCTCTTAACTGTCATTTTAACTCATTTTTCACCAAAAGTGACTTTATTTCTTTTTCTTTGTAATTATCCTTCAATATTAAATCCATAATAAATGTGAGGGTCATTATACACTTCATGCTTTTTTTCTCCATTTGTGTGTGCAGGAAAATATTTTTTTCTCCAGTTATATGATAAAACAATACCCCATATATATATATATAAAATAATTTGTAATGTGACTGCATATAAACATTGGTACAGTCACCTAAAAATTACATTGTTTTAGGTGGGATAAAGGAAGCTCGTGTTCAAAATTAACTGTAAAAAATGAAAATATTATATTTATTTTTTTGGTAATCGAAAATATTATATTTATTTCCTCTTCTATATGGTTATGATTATCATATTTAATGTTTTCACACTTAAAACGACGTAGTTTTATATGACTGCACCAATCTTTAGGTGCAGTGATTGTACATTTTCTAAACTCATATATGAAAAAATATTTCTACAGCCATTTTAGATAACATTATCTACAGCTATCCCTTTTTAACGAAGTCTGGCCAGTAAGACATAATTACAACAATAAAGTTGTTCTTTTTTTTCTCTATCTTCAAACATTGTCGGCTGACGTGTTGGAGAGAGAAAATACAATTTTTATGTCTTACTGGTGAGACTTAGTTAAAAAGAAATAGTCGTAAACAACCTTATCTAAAGTGTCTGTAAAAATATTTAACCATAGATTATATCCGAAATTACAAATGATTATGGATTCAAACTAACTGTGTTAATAAGCACCTAACTCCTGTATTGAGGAAATGATGGGATTTTTCTGGATTGATCAGCCTCTTTTTTTGCAATAATCCACATTCTTATCTCCAAAATGACAGCTATAATAACTAAGATGGCAATAGTAACTCCATAAGCAAGAAACCACTTAGATCCTTCCCCTCCTAAATGTAGTCCATAAAAGGTGTTAACAACTCCGAAGATAATCAAAATTCTTCCCACGTTATGATGGTACCAATTCCAATACTTGCGTGTCTTTGATAACGGTCCTGGTCGAAGTGCAATAGCCAATACCTATGAAATCAAATCATAAGCAATAGTCATATATATGAGTGAAAATCAAATTGATTATTATTCAGACAAAAGTTGACTCACGAAAGCTTGCATATATATGGACTACTTACTAGCCTATAAATATAACATAGATAACCTAAATATAGAACCAAATCACAAGATATATACACTTAGATTAAATTACACTGGTGTAAAAATAAAAAAAATCTTATATACAATCTTAGTTGTTGATTTGCTTGCATCTAATGAGTCTATCTAATAAATTAGAGTTGTTAGACATAAATAGGACCAACGACTACCATTAAGAATACCGGTATAAAATAATTTTTTTTCTTTATCTCTCTATATATGTATATGTATAAGAATGAACTCTCTCAAATGTAAATCAGTTAAATTAGAGACAAATTAACCTGGAGACATCCAAGGACGAGAATGAGGATTGCTATATTTTTGTGATTAGTCACATCAGCACTGAGTTTCTTGGATAAGGAAAATCCACAGAAAATTCCAATTACGCCTGCTATAAAGCCAAATGTTTGAATGGAAGCATGCAAATAAAACCAAATGGGATCCAATTGCTTGAAGTAGCGAGCAATTATGAATCCTATTATCATGAGAATGCTCCATCCCGCAATGTTCAGAATGCCATGGCTTCTTCGAAGTTTTAGGTTAGAAATTTTACTAATTGCTCCTGTTGCAACAACCCAAAGTTACAAGATTCAGATTGAATCATGGGACAAATAAATAGATAAAACTTAGATAAAGTTCTTTTTTACCATCTTGAAGTTCTCATATCAAACAATGACACGTGAATATTATATTCTAATTTAGCAATACATTCTTAATGGACGCTATTGGAAGATATATCCACATATCATATTTTTTATTTAACAACTTGATGGCAAGGATACAAAGAATTTGATGCAAGTTTTGTCCTAAAAAGATATAAATAGATAATCATAGTAAATATATATTGTTACAAAAAAAAAATAGTAAATATAGTATAGCTGGCCGGCCTTTGTTTTTGTAATTAACAATTCTGACTTTCCAATTACACAAATTTCAAAGAGTAATCCCTAATCTAGGCACTGCATATACAAGAAAAATTCCTAAAGATATCCGTTAATTAACAGGACTGTTAGATTCTTACAAAGACTCAAAATGAAAAAAGAATTAAAAAATGATAGAAAATCATTATTTACAGTTTTCTAATTAAGGATACAATGTTATGTATATCTTTTTTTAGGCTTATTTTATCTATTTCTATTCAATATCGTTAGATCACAATCTTAATAATCTCAATCGACCTTTATTTTTTTCTCTCTTCTTTCACTATTGATTAAAATTATAATTTAACGACATTAGAGATAAATATATAAAATAGACATGGAAAAATGTAGACATGATATCCTATCCATTTGAATTATGAACCACTATTTAAAACCTGTAGATTAGTTTAACCAAAAACAAATTAACCATGAAGAAATTTGTACATATAGTGAAACACTTATCATGATGAATCACAACTTTCACTAACCTGTTGAATAGTCTATTTTGGTGGATATCTCATCACTATGTTGGGCCAGGGTATAGTCTGGATAATCAGGAAATACACCATTGGGTCCAATGGCATATAACAGATTTGTGGTAGGTTGGGCGGTTTTCAATTGGAAGGTTATATATGCCAGTGAAGTAGTAGCTGGGAGTATTGAGAAATTCATAACATTGAGGTTTCCTTTGTCAGGAATCACTTGATTTGGTGATTTTCCACCCAGATAGTACACTTTCAAGCCCCCTGCACCTGAAGATGGCATCCACCCCACAATTGCTGTAGATCCCACCATGCTGCCATCATTTGAGAACCCTATGGCCACATATGCTTTTATGTTTGAGGGGAATGAGAATACAAAGCTCCACACATCTGATGAAGCCTTAGCATACTGTTCATTGTTCACATAATAATCACAAACAATTAGCTATTTATATTCTTCTTTCACACACTCCAATGCAGTTTATATTCTCAAATAGTCAAATGTAGAGTGTAATTCACAAAATAAAAGTCTTGAATAGTCAAATTCAGCCCTTTTTTAAAAAAAATTGTGAAGATATTGAAAAGGCATTTGAGCTAGTAAGGTAGCTCTTTGCGGGATAAGTAACCTATTTACAAAAATGCAAGAGTAAGATTGCAACTCTCATCTCTACCCTCACAAATCGAGAAAATTTAGTCACCGAGATTTATCCTTTTATTTAAATATACAGTATTTAAAAGTGCACCTAAAGCCATTGAATAAGACACAAGATACACACACATACATACTCTAAGGATGAAATTGTGAGCGCTCCAAACAGGACTGCAAAGAAGTGAACTTGTATCAAAAGGGATAGGGTTATTAGTTTGCTCCAATTTAGAGGCACATGAATCTTGAGAAGTCACATGGGTTGATGAACTAGAGAGAATAATGAGAAAGATTAGGCAAAGGTATGTGATCACCTTCATTTTTGAGTGAAAGGCAATAAGAATCAAAGATAGTGTGCAAACATGCAGCTACTTAGGATGTACGACCATTAATTATGTTCAGTTATATAGTGAAATATAAGAAATGTTTTATTATCCCGTAATCATTTTTGAGAGAAATGACTAATCTTATAACTGATTTATATTATAAGTAAATTAGTGTGCCATTAATCATTTATATTATGTTTCAGTTATAAATGATTTATATTATAAGTAAATTAGGATATACCATTAATCATTTATATTACGTTCAGTTATATAAATGATTAAAATATAAGTAAATTAGGATGTACCAAGCATGCAGCAAGTTAGGATGTATAAGTAAATTAGCGTGCAAGCATGCACACTAATTTCTTATAATATAAATGATTAAAATATAAGTAAATTAGTGTGTGCAAGCATGAAGCAAGTTAGGATGTACCACTAATAATATTAATAATATAATTGATTAAAATATAAATAAATTAGTGTGCAAGCATGCAGAAAGTTAGGATGTACCATTAATCATTTCTATTATTGTTTCGCGGAAACAGATTTTCTCATTTGAATTGCGATCATTATATTAATATATTCTCTTATCATTGTTGACTTTGAGATTCCTCGCATCACATATGGTTTGACCACAGATCACACATGGTTTGTTGACTTTGTTCCCTTGTTTCTCCTTTATTTCATGATATAAAAATAGGTTTTTTTTTTTTAAATTACTTTAGACAACTTTATTTAATTATCACCGAAACGACATAGTTTTGAGACAAAAATAAACTTATAATTTTAATTTATTTCAGGATTATAATTGTCTTTATGATTCTAATTTTTTAATTTGTTAACCCTAAAACAATATCGTTTCGGTAAATATTAGATAAAATTATCTAAAATGATATTAGATACTTTTTTCCATAAAAATATTAAAAAAATATTTTTGATCAACTTTATCATGCCTATATGGGATATCCTTTGTTAATTATGCTTTACTTTCGAGTTTCGTCCGTGGACGATTAAAAAAAAAAAATCAGAGTAGAGTACATTCTCCTATTGAAATCTTAAATTGGGAACTTCACTATTATTAAGAAATAAAATTCTATTATTCTGATACAATGATGACATGGTAATTAGATCGTAGCCTAAATTAGTCAAAGTCTTAAACTCTTTTTTTTAATGATGACATGGTAATTAGATCGTAG